GCCACAACAGAAGAAGCAGCAAAGGCAGTGCTGAAGAATTGAGTACACAGAATCTGGGCTGAAGAAGTCATCAATAAAATGATAAAAGAAATGAAAAAGGCTGAAAGGCATCAGGCCTTTGAGTGGCTTGATGAACTCCAGAGATCCTGATAATACATCTAACAAACTAAGACCTCAGGATGAGATTTGATGACCAAGGCTCAGATCAAGACCCTTACTAGCCATTCCACCCACATGGTAACTGCTTTAATTAACAGCAGCTGTATCAGCAGCTCAATCAATTATGCTTTTATCAATAAGCATGAATTACTAATACAAGCAACTGTGGCCTCTATCTCTGTTTACAATGCTGATGGCACAAAAAATCAAGCCAGTTCTATCATTAAATTCATTGAGCTATAGCTCACCATCAGAGATCACTCTGAGCAAATTGACTTGGCAGTCACTAATTTAAAAACTAAAGAAATATTTCTTGGCTATGACTAGCTGATCAGACATAATCTTCTGATCAACTGAAAAACTGAGTGAATCACCTTTGCTCAGTATAAGTGCCAAAAGATCCTCTTTAAGCTGCCTGATCAGGACTCTGAAGATTAATGGGATGAAGAAATAGAGGATGAGGAAACCATCCTCACTGTTGATCTAGAACAAGCAATTCATATATAGGCTGTGCACCACACCAGTGACCTGGCTGCCAAGGCCAATGCTGAAAAGAAGAAAAGGATGTTCAAGGAGATGGTACCTAAATGGGCCTAAGATTATCAGAATCTGTTTGACAAGGAGAGCTTTGATGAATTACTGGAGCTTAAACCATGGAATCATGCTATTGAGCTCATCCTGAATGCTAGCACTAATCTTAATTGCAAAACCTACTCTCTTAGCAATTATAAGCAAGCAGAACTTGACAAGTTCCTAGATGAGAACCTGTCCAGCAGAAGAATCTGACCTTTAAAATCACTGATAGCCTCACCATTCTTCTTTGTCAAGAAAAAAGATAGCAAACTCCAACTGGTCCAGAACTACTAAAAGTTAAATGAGATGATGATCAAGAATTGTTATCTATTACCTCTGATCTCAGAACTGATGGATAAACTATAGAGGGCCAAGTATTACATCAAGCTGAATATCTGCTAGGGCTACAATAACATATAAATAAAGGAGGGAGATAAATGGAAAGCAGTCTTTAGGACTAACCATGGACTCTTTGAGCCCATAGTAATGTTTTTCAGACTCATGAACTCACCAGCAATCTTCCAATGGATGATGAACAACATCTTCAAGGATCTCATCACCACTGGGAAGGTTACCATTTACTTAGACAATATTCTCCTCATGTTCAAAGATCATGAGGAGCATTAGTGACTAGTCTAGCAGGTGCTCACTCTCATATGCAAGCACAAGCTTTTTCTCAAAGCTGAAAAGTGTGAATTTGAGGTACTGGAAACAGAGTACCTCAGAGTAATCATAAGTGAAGAAAACATTTGCATGGATCTTGTCAAGGTGGCTAGTGTAACAGAATGGCAGGAACTCATAAAGAAGAAGGAGTTACAATCCTTCTTAAGGTTTACAAACTTCTATCACTGGTTTATTCAGAACTACAGCAAGATCATATGGCCTATGACTCAGTTGACTGACAACACATCATGAGGATGAAGACCATCCCAATAGAGCATCTTCAATGATCTGAAATAATGACTAGCTGAGGATGTCATCCTCACCATTCTAACACAGGAAGAGAGATTCCAAGTTGAGGCCAACTCAAGTGAAGAGGCCATTGGTACTGTCCTTTCACAGGAACAAGACAGGAAGTGGAAACCTATAGCATTCCTCTTGAAGACTCTGACTATAACAGAGCAGAACTATGAGATATACAACAAAGAGTTACTCATGATAATGCTCACCCTAGAGGAGTGGTGACATTATTTAATCAGCATGGCTCAGGTCTTTGAGATCTGGACAGATTATCAGAATCTGTGGTATTTTTGACAACCACAAAAACTTAACTGATGACAGGCTCACTGGATAACTGAACTGAGCCAGTATGAGTACACTCTGCATCATAAGGCAGAAACAGCAAATAAGAAAGCAGACCTCCTCAGCTAATGATCAGACCATAACCAGAGAGGAAATGATAATAAAAAGGTGACATTATTGAAGCCTGAATATTTCAGAGCTATGATAATGCCAATGAAGGAAGAGATCCATGAATAGATCAAGAGCATAATTCAGAACACCACCAAATAGGATCAAAGAATCACTCCACCTCTGAATCATGAATAAGAGTTGATCAGAGATGGAGAATTGATCTGATATGATAATCAGATCTATATTCTGAGGGACTAGCAACTTTATGGTGAAATCATTGCCATCTATTATGATCACATGACAGCAGAACATCTGGAGATTGCCAAAACTAAGAAATTAGTTTTACAGGAGTACTGGTGGCCAAAATATAGAATATTATATCAGGGGTTGCAAAATATATTAGCAAGCCAAATCATCAACACAGCTATAGGCCACACCACTCCATTCAAATGAGATTCCAATGACACCTTGGACTCACATCTCAGTGGATATGATGACTGACTTACTGGAATATAATATTTATGATGTAATCATCATTATTATAGACTGCTTCTCTAAAGTGATCATTCTGATTGCATGCTCAATAGAATTAACATTAGAAGAATGGGCAAAAATTCTATGTGACAAAGTATATGCCAAATATAAAATGCCTCAGATCATTATTTCAGATCAGAGACTACAATTCATCTCTAAATTCCTTGATGATCTATATCAACTACTTAATATTTGACAAAATATGTCAACCACTTATCATCCACAAACCAATGGCCAAACTGAATGAGTTAATAAAGAAGTCAAAAAATACCTTCACCTTTTTATTAACTACCAACAAGACAACTGGATTGAATGACTCACTCTTGCTGCCTTTCAACACAATAGAATCTATTCTGCTACCAGTAAAACACTGTTCTTTGTCAACTATAGCCATCATCCCAATGTCACACACATGGAACAAATATCCACCTTGACCTCTATCTCCTACAACTTCACACAAGAAATGACCAAAATCCATTCTGAAATACACATCATTCTAGAAAAAGTGGCTGTCACAATGAAAAAGCATGTCAACAAACATCACACTCTTACATATGAGTACAATGTCAATGACAAAGTATGGTTGGATATGACTAATCTTCATCTTCCTTATCCAAAACTAAAACTCTCTGATAAATGTATCAGACTCTTCTTCATTCTTACTAAAGTCAGTGCAGCTGCTTACCACCTTCACCTCTCTGCAAACTGGAAGATTCATAATGTCTTCAATGAATCCTTATTAATACTCTTCATTGCTCCAGCATTTTCCAACCAAGAATGACCTCTGCTACCACCTCCTGATCTCATCAATAACAAAAAACATTATAAAGTCAACTAAATTTTAAACTATAAGTTATGCAAAGTCAAGGTAAAGAGCAGAGAAACAATGACAACACTTGACTATCTGATCAGTTGAAAGAGCTATAGCCTTGAATCTAATTAGTGAGTGAATGAAAAACATATGAATGCTGATGAAGCCATACACAATTATAAATTATCTCTAAATTAAGCCATCAGAATGATAGTCTTAAGGAGAGAGTAATGTTATGATTTTTCATCTTTTCTTTATATTTTCTTTGTATTAACCCCTATTTATACTTAGTCAGAGCATCTATACCAGTGCTTAGGACTGTGAGAGAAGCTTAGTCAGCACAATGAGCTAATCTATCATTATCTTCCAACATAGTGATTAGCTCTCAACAACATACAATCAATCTTTTGTGGATAGTAGCAATATCCAAAGATAATAGGCACAAAGACTTAGAGACATACAATAGATAGTCCTATATTTAATTTGACAATGTACAGTATATAAGTAAGCTCACTCTCACTGGTTAAACCTCAGCTTTGAGCTAAAGTTTATTCATCTCATTTTATTCTTGAGCTATCTTGCAAAGACTTTGAGGCACTTAGTCAATAAAGCACAATAAGTGAACTCTGATGCAAAGGTTCAAATGCAAAACCACAACAGTTTATTATGTGTTTTGATCATATGCAACTTGAGTCTAACACTATAGACAACTTGCAAACTCAAATCTTCAAAGAATGGAAGAGTAAACTCACAAATAGGTAGCAAGAATGTTACTCTAGAGTCAAAGAAAGAAAAGGAGAATAAGTGATCATGATAAGCCAGTAAGAGATGATCAGATGTCAGATGAATACTATAGATATTGAGTACCACTGGTCTGGAATTAGGCAGATGGAGGCTCCACATTAAATGAGATGAAAGAAGCAGGAGAAGCTTTGGTCTTCACAGAAGTAGGATCTTCAGAGTCTACTGACACTAGAACTGAGGGACAAAGGGCAGACTGGACATGCTCAAGTTCATCAAGGAGGAATGCATACTGTTTCTTGGCAGTGTATAGAGTGTGCTGGAGCATAAGGACATTATTCATGAGAGCACTCTCAAGCTTGGCCAGATGCCCAGGTCTCTCCACCATAAAATAACTCATAGTCAATCTTTTATAACTCTTGTATAAAGCATCAACACTAGAAGCAGCTCCCTCTTCATTAGCAACTGAAATCATGAAGAGCACAACTAAGAAATAATATGGCAAGCAAAAAAAAAGAGATGCATACAGACACTAACAAGTCTCAGAGCTGAGGCAGAATACCACTCTCTGACTCCACAAGAACTATGATGGAAATACTCCTGGGCTGATGGAAGTGGAAATAAAGGTTTAATACACTTGCAAGTATAAGCACTGTCTTTGCTGATAAACCTTTAGAAAGTTACCTGAGCCACTTTACTAGTCAGAAAGACAAGTGACAGGCAAGAAAAGAAAACAACCTACCTGACTCTTGTTAGCACAATCAGCAAAAGAATAACTATTAGCACCACAATGCATACAGGAAGATGGCTTCTCCTAGAATTACAGCTTTTAGTGAGAGAGACATGGATAATGTGGAAAGACTCTGATCTTGTACAGTTCTTTATGCTTGTCTCTAGTAATCACATTGCTAGACCTAGTCTTGAAAAACTTCAGAGACTTCTCAGCCCTGAAAGTCTCCTCATCAATGACCATCTTGAGAAGATTGAAGGTCAGATAGTCAAGCAGAGATCATAAAGACTAGGCATACTTTAATAGACTCAGTATTGAAATCAGAATAGACCATTATCTTGTCTGGGTCATTCTCATCATCATCAGACTTGGTATCAATGGTGGCATAAGAGCAATGAATAGCACAGCCTTTATCCTTATTGTGCATAATGACTCTAGCCTAGCAGAAGAAAATCAGTCAGAGAAACTATTAAACAGAGAAAAGGATTATAAACTAACTTAAGATCACAACAAGAGCCAGTTGAAATGGAAGGAGCATCTGCCCCTCTATCTACAAACTGATCTTGCTCACTTTGAATCTACTCAATAATAGTCTTAAGCACCTTGTGGATAGGCTGCTTGGAGGCATTAGTATGGAATTCCTTTTCAATAGCAGTGCAAGCATGAAAAACTAATTCCTTGAGATTCTTATCCTTGGTGAGCTTGCTTTTATAATGCTCAAGATGAGACTATCATGTGGAAAGTCAGTAAAACAGCAGAAATAATATACAAATACATATGGTATATTTCTGGAGTTGATTGAAATGATCATTCACAGTAGTAGTAGGATCCTTGCAAAGAGACATGATGGCTGCCTTCACAATAATGAAAGTAGAGATTATTTTGACAGAGAGCTGTAAAGAAATATACAAATAACAATAAAAACAAGTTGAGAGATGATGGGTTGAGTCAAAACAATATGGAAAACCCTCAACCTTTATACTATGTGATAATAATATTTGATTAGGCAAATAATAACAGATAAAGAGATTTTGTGAAAAATAACAGAAATTAAGAGTGTCAAGGTCAGAGAACTAACAGTTAACATGTCTGAGACTTGAAAACATGATGTGGCCTTATAAAATAAATAAATCTTTATTTAAATTATAACTGAGGACAGTTAGATCTTTTTAGTATGGAGGATATAGTGGTATACCTGAGGTATCACCACAACTACATTAACCACAAAGATACAGTAAATTTTGTGATTGTATGATCTCTGCTAGATATAGAAATAATAGAATAACAATAGAAAATCAAATTATTGATAGCAGTGACAGATCCAGATAGTTAAAGGAAAGTCAACATGCAATGATACTGACATTCCACCAAGGAATTAAGAAGAACAGGTCAGAAGAGAGCAACAGAACAGCTTATGAAATGACAAAAAAGAGGAAATAATGAATAAAGAATACTGATGCATGAGACTCAGACATGAGTCCAACATAGCAATCAGAGTCTTTCAGAGCCAGATGGATTGAGTTGAAATATGAAACTTAGTCTTAGCTGAAATTGAAAAGAGTGCAACAAAAAGAGAGGTATATTAGTATACTAGAGCCCTATAGGCCCACAAGAAAATGGGTGCACAATATGACAATAAGCTATGAACAGAGCACTACTACTGGCTGCATCTAAAGACCCTGAGTGCTGCTATAAATAAAGAAGAGTATCTACAAGAAAACACAGTGTGAAGAAAGGAAACAGAAAGAAGTACAAGTATCCAAGATATGTTAAGAGAGATACCAGCCTTTATTCAGTGTCAGAACTAGACACTGGCATTTCTATTGATAAATGCATTTATAGAATCAGAATATACCAAGAAAGATTTGAGGAGATCAGAGACTTATGCATAAGCTTCAATGATCTCAGTATCATGCTTATGAGAAGCAATAGCATTAAGATTATTAGTAAGCTCATCTACAATCTGCTGCCAGTCCTTATACAAGAACTGAAGGGATTCTGCACGCAGCTTGATCTTAATCTAGATATGCTCAATATAGTCAATGCCACAATGAATAGCTAAGAGCAAGATAATCAGGCAGAGCAAAAATGAACAGAGATCTAAAAAGACATACTACTATCACCACTGAAAATGAGAGAGTCCAATAAGGTAGTGGCACAATAGAGCTGATTGACATCTCAGTATGCAGATCAGTGGCCATGACAAGTGGATCTACAGCATATACAGATCTCCTCACCAACTCCACTCTCAAAAATGCATTCCTCAGAGAAACCAGCCAAAGTGCAGTTAAAGCACAGCTGGAAAAGCTAGTGAGTGTTAGGAACATGCTAATCAATTGGGTTTATACATATGCAGAGACCAGCAGAGTGCATGAGCATCAATAAAGCTATTGGCAATATCACTCTTGAGTCAAGGCCCAAGGATATGGATTTGACAGAATGGAGTTCCATCAGAAAAGTGAAGAGAGATATCCTTTGGAGTGGAATCTGGTGGACAAGATAGAGAGGAGCTGAAGTGAGCACAAAGTGTAGATGGCTATCTAAGTTGATATTCAAACTGAGTAATTACAATGATTGTATATGGTTTATATACTATTGGTAGTTAATTCTGAGTCAGAGTCCATTGGGTTTCAGTGTAAATTGTTTGCTACTATTTTTAAGGTCTAGATACTACAATGTGAAATATAGATATAAAATAATAATGGTAAAATAAAATTAATAGTTAATGAGAAACAGATGGAGTCTGGTGGAGCATGGTGATTAAATTTGTGGTTGATTGAAGTGATGTGGAGACTGGTGGCATGTGTGTAACACTCTGCCTAATCATTAGAGATGGGACAATAAGAAATTGTCTATAAGCAAGATGACTAAGTATAATAGCACTCTATCTGTTGTGATTATCTAATGTTCTCACATTCTTTGAAAGAGTGCCTAAGATAAGATAGATGCTCTGATGAGATAAGAAAAAGAAAAAGATATATAGAGAAATTGTAACAAAAGATAGCATTATATTCATATATTCTAGAGAGCAGAATTTACTATATGTACCAGACAAAGCTGAATTGAATAGTGCTAATCTGTATAGCTTGATTGTTAGTGAGGGACCCTTATTACTTGCTCACCTTAGCTCTGACAAAATGATGATATATCTACATTGACATGCCCTCAATGTGTTCATGCATGTAATTTTGCAAATTCTGAGGATACATAAAGTGTATTTGAGTCTATAATATACATAAAGGCTGCTATGACTTGCATGTAAGAAAATAGTATGATTGCATGCAAAGTAACAGTATGACTGCATGTGGAGAAATATGATGACTATATGCAAAGACTATTATAACTAGCATATGATGAAATAAGACTCAGTATTATATCTGACTGGAGTGACAATTAATAGAATATATAACTTGATAGCAGAGTGATACCAGCAGAGTTCTGCTGCACATGAAGTCTCAGCATTTGGCACTGAATGCACAGATATCAGCATGGAGATGTATGCTAAAAATAAAAAGAATACAATTAGAATAATGATCAGAGCTAAGATCAACACTTTGTATCACAGTAATCAATAATGCATAGACATGTAGTATAGAAAACAACATACTCTGGACCAGAGATATAAGACATGGCTATATAACCCTAAAATATTGAAAAACTAGCTGAAAGAAATGATACTGGAACAAAATAACAGTCAAGAGATAAATCCAGTGGTCTGAAATGCATACTATATATGGTCTAATAGCTCTGAGAAAATAAGAAAGCAAAGAGACCTGTGATTAGACTAGACAGTTAAGCTAACTGATGTCAGATTGCATGGAAACAGCAGGTCCAGCCCTGAGTCAGAACAGAATATACATGTCAAACAGCAGCATGCATGGAAATAACTTCTGTGAGACTCTGAAACAAAGTCCTATGCATTGAAACTACTATATTAGATTTGTCTTAGTAAATACTAGAGTAGTCTATTTAAATACCACATTGTAAAAGTAGTATACAAGTTTTTGACTCTCACTGTTGCAGTGTAAAGGCACAAAAACCTTGTGCTCTAGCCACTAGGATTAGTTTGTAACTTCAGATGAGAGAATAGACTCTATATTGATATTATTAAAAGAGATTTGAGAACTGTATGAGATATTGAAAGCTTCTGCAGGATTCTAGTCTGAGAATAAGAGAGTAGTGTCTGGAGGGTACTCTTTTGAGTTTTTGAGATATTTGTAATGTGAGACACTACAGGTGGCAGAGGTTCAAACCCTTTGGCTTGATTAGTGCTTGCTCTTTGATTACTTCTGCAGATCAGCAGAGGTTTGAACCCTTTGGGTCTGTGGATAAGGTTTTTATGTGTTTTTGTATCTCTAGATCATGTAAGTTTGAACTCTGTGGATCTACAATCAGTTTGGAAACTTGCATGCAGAGATTCAAACTCTTTAGTGCTTGTAGATGAAATTGTGAAGTGTTTTTGCTTAGAGTGCAAAGCTTTCAGTTGTGTATTGTGTGTGTTAGGATTTTTAGGTTTGGTCTGAGTAGTGCTTGAGACTTTTTGAGGGTTTTGTGGGAGTGTTTCAAAGTATTATGTTGAGATATAGTACTCTTGCCTTGAGGCCTGGAAACATTCATTGTCTCTCTTATTTAAACAAAAAACTTTGAGACTTAAAGAGATCTTAGACATATATACATGTGCTATTACTATTTGCATACAGTGGATCATTAGAGAGATGATTATATTGGCTATTACTACTCTTATCACATTAGAATTCTCCAATAAACTAAGAGTGTTGTGTATGTGTTGGTGTGGATATGATTAGTGAATAGTTCTTCACTGTATCAGTTTCTACTTTGCATATATAAACTATATCTTCAACATGACCATACCTTGGTTACTGACATTCAGGACTTTTGTGTGTGGTATCAGACTTGCCACCAGTCTAAACCAAACAATCAATGACTATTTAGACTGCTAAACCCACTATAGGTGCCTGCTTATCTGTGGTAAACCATTAGTGTGAATTTTCTTGGTTCTCTATCTAATTCTATGAATTGAGATGGTACATTTAACTTAATTACTATAGTAATTGATCTGCTCTTTTCTATGGTATATTTGATACCAAGCAGGATTGATTACATTACCCCTCAGATTGCTGAGCTGATGTTCAAAAATGTATTCAAGTTATATAGATTATTAGAGAATATTGTTTTCAACTGAGATATGTTTTTCACAAGTGAATTTTGGACAGACCTCTATAAGCTATTAGGCATGATCTTGAAGATGTCAAGCTCTTACCATCCTCAGACAGATGGTATGACTGGATATGTGGATCAAATAATAATACAGATGATTCAGGCATGCATATCTCTGGATCAAAAAGATTGAGTTATGCACTTATCCAGTATCAAGTTTGCAATTAACTCTTCTGTTACAGAATCCACTGGCTTTGCACTGTTCAATGTGAATTATAGCCAAATGCTCTGCTTTGTTGTGTAGATGGCATCAATGAATGATATCTACCCTGAAGTCTATGAATTTGCTCTATGAATCAAGCATACTATCCTTACCACACATGACTCTATCCTGACTGCACAGGTCAAACAGACTAGAGATGCCAACCATTGTTATTAATTGTCTTCTTTTAGTGCAGGTGACTTAGCATATATCTTAATACAATATTTGATGCTTCTGAAAGGTCTAATTCAGAAGCTGACCTCAAAATTCATTGGCCTATATTGACTGGTCTGTAATTTTGGCAATGATTCATTTGAAGTGGAGCTGCTCTCTGAGCTTAAATGGCATGGGATACACCCTATTTTTCAGAGTTGTTTGCTGCATATGCATGTTCCAACAGATGATATCTTATTTTCTAGCCATGCTGATGTGACTGTAGATTTGGCTGAGGCTAATGATGCTATCAAATGGAAATTGAACCACTTCATTAGCCACAAAGATCACAGTGCTGAAGCCTTGTTTCAGGCTGAATGGCCATCTGGTAATGTGATATGATTTTCTCTCTCTGAGGCTGAGAAATTTGCTTGTTGGCAGGATTATTTTGACATTCTGTGTATTCAGAATGCTACTCAACTTCTCTTATTAACTCAAGAGCCCACAGAGGCATTTTTGATATTTATTGTTTGAGAATATAAAAAGTGCTGCTGGTGATAGCTCTGAGACTCTCTTTCAGAATACCACTTGCTTTTTGCTATCCACAATCATGCAGATCACCATGTCTGTTGTTGTATCTGGCTTTACTCTAAAGGGCTCAAAAATCCTCATTATTTCTATAGCTAATGGTAGTTAGACTTTGCCACAAGCTCTGATCATAATGTTCCTGCATCATGACAAGTATCTCCATGGCCATGAATGAGAGGCTGATTGAGCACCTTCTATATGGTATGAGAGATTTCATGTTCATTGAAATTCACATTTGGCAACTACATGGTTTCTTGCCTTTGAGAAGAAAAAAAGCATCATCATTATCTGGAGTGATGATAGCTGCACAATCAATGATTTCTTACCACCACCATCAAAGAAATATGCTGGTAATAACAAGAGCTATTTGAGGGTTTTTAAGTCTGCAAGGAGATTACATTGAAGGCAGTCTTCAATTAAGTTGCCACAGTTCAGAAATGTGGCTCAAGCTTACATGGCTCTGATTCACAGAGACATGCACCTCCTACTCAGCATCACAATCAGAAATGCTACTTTAAACACATGCTCAGAGCTGAGACTCCTGGTATAGTGATTATTCATGAGAATCATCTCAGATCTATGTATGCTACATCTATGGTTTCCTAAAATGACATTGTGCTAGCCACTCTGATATATCTCCTGAGCCCAGTTACTATATCCACAGACTCACCTGCTTCTAGCATGACTGCTGCCCTGTTTATACTTGATCCTAGTTCAGATGTCACATCTAGTACTGCTCTGACTGACAAACATCCTAAAATGATCACACCTCTCTCAACAACATTCATGGTACCTCCAGAAGTGGTCTCACAGCCTGTGGAAGATGTTAACATGGATGAGTATATTATATTGTCAGGGATGGACTTGGATACAGATGACTTATTTAATTTTGATAAGGGCATCAACACTAACACTGATTACATTTTTATTTGATTAGTGCTTGCCAGACAAGGTGCTGAAGGGCATATGTAACACCTCAATATATGTCAGACCCTACTCCCATAATTTTTTACATTACTATACTGATATTATTCAACTAAATAGATTACTGTTTCCTATTATGCTTATTCTTATCTCTATGATCTTACTCTTACTCTATGTCTGTTTCATATCTATTTGAATTACCCAAGTACAGTTGACTATCTCACAATGCATGATGTTAAAATGCATAATTCTGACTTTGCATATGGATTGGGCTGGAACGCAGTCAGAGAGCAGGAAAATAGGCTAGAAATGCATATCACATAATGCATATAGTTCTAGTTAGGAATATGCATTGTCAGATCAAAAATTATAGTAAGCTGATATGACATTATGCATATATTAGAACAATAAAGAACATAATTTGTTTGTATAGACTATGACAAACATAAAAAAAATTATTGTAAAGTGACACAGCCTATATCTCTATAAACATGCCTTCTGAACCAACATGAAAACCACATGCTAAACCTGGAAATCCATATGAGCATACAAAACAGAAGGAGAAAGTCCCAATGTACACATCATCAGCTCAGCCTCCAAAGCAGATCTTCTGCCCACACCTCACAATAGAAGACTGGCTTGTAGTATTCAAACATGTTGATAACCATCCTTCCCATTGACATGCTGACATTGTGGCATATTTCACAAACTGAAAGGAAGGTGCACTGCTCTTTACTCAATCAACTCTTTCACACAAACTGGCATCTCATACAAAAATCGAACAGCATGCAAATGAGAATCCTAATGCACTATCATCCAAAAAGTCTCATATTGTCACCTGACCTGATGTGGAGTGTGCTGTTGCATCCTGGTATCAGAACATGCAGCTCTGAGATGAAACTGTGACTGGTGCAATGCTGATAGAGAAGTGAAATCAGATTGAAAATCTGATGAATATTCTAGAGGATCAGTGTTTGAAAGGAGAGGGTTGGTTGAGGTCATTCTGCAAGGCATGGAATATTCAGGAGGTTTGGTGGCATGGAGAAGCAGGCTCAGTGGATATGATGGCAGTGGAAAAAGAACATGTGCATCTTCACAGCATTATAGTGAAATATGTGATGCAGGACAGATAGAATATTGATGAATCTGGTCTTATCATCTTTGCCATCCCAGATTGTACCTTGGCATCTGGTCCTATGAGTGGACAAAAACAGGACAAGTTCCACATCACTATGTGTTTTACTGTGAATGCAGATGAGAGTGAGTGGATGCCAGTTATTTTCATTGGCAAGTCAAAGCAACTACAGTGCTTCAAAAAAAAGAGTCCAATGGCAATGGGATTCTATTATCAGAATAACAAGAAGGCCTGGATGACAAGTGAAATATTTGTGGAGTGGATGAAGATGTTTGATTTAAAGATGAAAAGGGAGATGTGGCAGATTCTGCTGACCTTAGACAACTTTTAAGGGCATTCCATTGCTTATACACCCCATAACACAAAGCTGGAGTTCTTTGAGCCCAATATGACTCCATATGTTCAGCTGCTAGATGCTGGTATTATCTGCTGCTTCAAGGCACATTATCAGAATGCCATGTGTATCTATGCACTTGATCTTGATGATCTTGGAGAGTCTGAGATCTTCAAGCTTGATCTCCTTGAAGCTATAACTATTGCTTGTGATGCTTGGGCAAATGTCAGCAGTGAAACAATAGCAAACTGCTGGAAACATGCTGGTATAATGCCTGACAATGCATCTGAGTCACAGTCCATCACATCATCTAATGATTTCTAAGACATCTCACTCCTCAAGTCTGCATGGAATCTTGTTCATGACTTTGCCTCAACAGACAAATACATGCTTCCAGAGATTGAACAGGCATTGCAGAATCTGCTTGGAAACTAATATGCTGATGCTGACTGGCATCCTGCTCTTATGGCTGTTATGAATGCAGAGAATGATGTTGGTAAAGCACTGGAGACAGTCAATCAGTTAGCTTCTTTGTCACAGTCAAAAATAAACACACCTTCCACCCAAATTGCTTCCATTCAACAGCTCCAGACAGCAGAGATAATGTTAAAGGATCATCTTGTTGAATTGAAACAACAAAATTGCATGTTTGGTCTCATTCCAACCATTGAAGAGATAGTTAACCCTATTGCAGAAGAGTATATTGAAGATCCTGAAGCAATGCCAACAGATAAGAAGATTGTTGCTGCTGTCAAGTATGATATTGCAGTAGGAAATGAAGAAATAACTGTCATTGATGATGATGAGGAGAAAGAGGAGAAAGAGGAGGGTGAGAAAGAACAGACCTTAATAACTACAAGGGAAGGATTTGAGCTTATTCAAAAGCTGGAGGCATTTTATGTTTCACAAGGTGACCAGAGTGAATTAGTATCACAGCTGAGGAAGTTGAGAGGAGCATTATTCAAGGAGATGCATGGAAAGCTGACCCAAAAGCCACTGACAGCATTTTGGAGCAATGATGACATTATCACATAAAGTCACATATCACATCATATGCCATTTTGGTTCTGAATAAATCTATAAGTGCATATGGTTTTGATGTCTCCTGACTATGTGCATTGCAAGATAGTCAACTGTACTATATAAACCTTCATGATACAGTAGGTAGATGACTTTTCTGAATCAAAGTATCTTTTACCTGGTCATTCTTTGCTTGCCTAAAGTCCTTGTATGATGGAACTGTGACTCATCTCACTTCTGTAACAGTAAGCAGTTGAGAGAGTGGTGAAAGTCACTTCTCTCATGAAAGGCTTGGTCGATTGTGAAAACCTCTAGCTACAATATACATACTGGCTTATATATATATACAGTAGGAATAACAAATACAGGCTAAACTGAAGAGACAGGGAAAAGAGAGAAAAACATCAGATAAAAGTATCAGACTATGAAATGACTCATAACATATGCTCTCCTGGCCAATAAAGTTGGACAATACAGTAGCATGGTATGTATCTCTTTTTTTTCAACAAAATATAAGGTAAGCAAAGAAAATTGTTGATGGAATAAAGTAAACATCATAAGACTAATTTTCTCTATTCTGCATAGCAGCATCTCTTTTCTTACTATTCACCTCAACATCAACATCACTCTCCATGTCATCTTCTCCATTGCCAATGTTAGATATGCCCTGGATAAACTCCAATAGATGGTCAGAGCCTGAGTCTGAGTCTGAGAGAAAATCCAGCAACTTATCATGGTCCTCTCAGAGGATTCCCACCTGTTTGTCTTTTCATCTCTGAATAGCCCTCTCCTTGGCCCTTTCCTGTCTGAGAAAGAGGATATGACTAAGATATTGATTATCATTATACTTGCATTCTGGAATGATGACATATCTGGAGATTTAGATGATTCTGGAGTTAAAGAGGATAGGCATGTCAATCTTGAGATTGCAAGCAGTGGGGGCGGGATTGTCAAGGTGAGTGAGATTGGTATTCACCCAAGGAGTTGTCTCACTCAGCAAACTTGTCCTCAGCATCATCTGCATTATATAAAGCCACAATGATGGAGTATCCAATGAGCTTATGACAAATCTGAAAACAAGCTCGAATGCCTTCAGCTCTGTAGGTGTGTCAAAGGCAATTGTTATGCTCAATGTACTGGAGCATCAGGATAGCAGGGATATTAGCAATGAGGCCTCCAAGTGAATTGGAGCCAGAAGCCTCCTGAACACTGAACCTCTCAATGCTCTTGTGATAAATAAACTAAGCCAGAGATTTGGAAGGGGCTTTAGACAGGAGAAGGGGATGGCTATATGTATAGTCTTTACACTTTTTGTGAGATCAATCAGCAGGTATATCAAGAGAAAACAGGATAGAGTCAAGGGTGGAAAGTGGAGAGAATGAAGTTGAAAAA